AAGAGGGAAACAAGAGGTAAGGGCACGCCAGTATATCTTTGAGGGCATCATCTTAAAGGGGAAACAAGAGGTAAGGGCACACCAGTATACATCTTTGAGGGCGTGCAGGACCTCTGAAAAAGCTCAAGATAAAAACATGATGATTGATGCAGTAATTTTGTGGTTTCATCACATAGACGATACACAACATTATTATTTGATGTTAACAGAAGTCGGAGATATGTTAAGTACCAATCAAATGCAAGATTTTCATCCAAGAGAAAACTTTGACAGACATAAAAAAAAGGTAGTAGCAAAGAAATTGAGAACATTTGAAGACCAACCTTGAACTCAATGAGAATCCTAAAATGCTTGATTGATGTCCATGACCAAGTCTTCCAGAGCTGCCTGCTCCCCAACTCAAAACATTGCCTTCGTCTAACCAAAAAATGCCAAGAGGAACTTTTAGTCATAAAAAATCATGACAATAGAGATTTACTAAACTTTGAAGAAATGTATCTGAATTTCTTCCATCACCTGTTACAGCAACTGAGTGCTCTGCCCCAAGAGCTACCATTTTAATGTTAATACCAGATAAGCACTCGATCCTACTAGGGGTGGAAACCACATTTTCTGCCCCTAAAATACAACATTGGACAAATATTTGTGTATTCAGTTAACACAGACACCACAACTTTCATAACAGGATATTTGAAATGATCAAAAAATAAAAGCGGAAAATATCATAGGACATGGCAGAATGGGTTAAGATTAATTTCCGGATAATTTAATAATAATGTAAAAGTGAATTGTATAGCGATGACCATTATCTGAAACTCTGTAGTAGGTTTAGTGCCTTCCATATTCTTTACAAGTTCTGAGTACATCACAGCACCTTGTATAACAGTGAAAACTCTTGTTGTACACATCACAGGTATAAGCCTTTTTATGTTAATTGTTAGCGGGGTTGGAACCAGATGTTACATAGTAGCCAGTACTGTTGTTTTTACTGCCCACAAAATTTATGAATATGATTCCAGAGTAAGTTTGAAGTATCTACTAAAGTAACAATTAATGAATTTTTACTTTTGGGAAAATTTACGAGAGATACATATAAAAGTAAAAAAGCGAACAAATGATATCACAGAAAGAATATCAATACTAAATCTCATTCTTAATTCAAGGTAAGAAGAGAATTACTTTTTCCAAGACCAAGCTGCCCACAGGAGTTATTTCCCCAAACGAAGAGCTCCCCATCATCTAAAGAGCATTTAAGCAATCAAAAGAATGAATTTGAGAATAATAAGGATGTAAATTCCAACATTTAAGATAACTAGTAAAACAAAATAACTCAGTATATCAAATGAATTAAGACAATTTGAAACTACACCACAAAGCTGAGTTACAGGATAATTCAGATATAATGTAGTTCAAACCATAATGCAAGACCACCAATCTTGTCAATGCTCTAGTTTGAAGTTGAGATTCAGAACATTCATATCTGACAAATGGCCAGTGTTATAAAGACTCAGACAAAGTTATAGGCCTCTGACATGTCGAACAGCCAGCATCAAACACTCAGATCAAGCTCCATCAGCAACTCATGAATATATCTCCATCGAAATGCAATCCTAATATTTAAGTATGAAGCATGTCAAGTAGTGCACAAAATTAGATGTTTGTGAGTTGAACCATCATATAAAGATATATTGGGAACAAGCTTCCCCTTCTCATAATATTGGGAATGAGCTTCCCCTTCTCATAACTCAATCTCGTGCTGTATTCCATCTAGGTACAAAATAGTAATAACTTCCCAGCTAATTAACACTCTCCTGGCTTCCTCCTTCCCGCTCTCCCTGGACAAGAAAAGATGATAATCCTATCTGGAGAATTTGAGAGGTTAATTCCAGTGTTTGCCAAGGCAAACATGTCACCAACAACCTAAACTAAAAATCCACATATAAAGCTACAACATTTGCCGCATCATCATCATCATCCAAAACACTTCCAGCAATATGGAATATGCCTTAAAGCATAGTACCAAGTCAAAAAAGAGTTCAGCTAAGCCATTTTTGTCAAGTAAGCTGTAGCCTTTCCTTGATTCCTTGAGTAAGACCCCTTTCCTACGGATCCCTATGGCAACTTTTGTCTATGTTTGCTAAGTCGGTCAAATATTCTGTGTTCAAGTGGAGAGTTGGGGTCAGGTGGAAGCCTACAGAGAGCATAGGGCATTGTAGTCGTTCATATTCTGCAACGAACTACTGTATCAAATTCCTATCAGTTCATACGAAGGCCGCTGAAAGACTGACAACTAAGATCTTTTTGATGTGATACAAACTTAATGTTAACATCTAGAAAGTGCACCAAGGTAATTGCCAAGATAGTCATAAACTGAAAGGAAGCAAGGAAAGCTATATGGCATGCAACCAAGGAACGGTTCCAATAAACTATAGAAAAGGATATCCCCCTACGTTGCACGGATAGAGGGACACAGCTATGTATATACATATCAAAATTAATAATCTACATGAGATCCATGTCTTTCATTCACATGTTATGAGAACTAAAATCCTTATCACATTTTTATGTTTCTTCTATTGAGTAGATTTTAAAATGAAAACCTGCTCGTTTTTTAACTAGATATCCAAACGGCCATTTAAACCCATACTTATGGACAGGTATATGCTAAAACGAACATATCCCATGTCCAACGAGTTGCATAAGTTTGAGCAGAGGTGTACGATATATGCTCAATAAATATATCATGAGTTTTTTTGTGCTAAAACATGTGTTATAAAATTGAGTACACGTCTAAATAGATGCATGTATAAATTCAAGAAGTGCCCAAGGAGTGTCCGACATGGCCACGGATACAGGAAGTGTCGGACTCATATATGGAAGCCTAGATGAAGTGTCCAGATAACCTAGATATCCCTCATCTGAGATCGATATTATTCCAACAATAGAACAGCTAGATATGAAGTCTGTATGAAACATCTTCTTCTCGAGGCCACACAGGATGCGTCACATTACAGAAACATTGTCAACAGAATGTGTCTGCATGAAAAGAAACATGTGCAAATAGCATAATATCCTTTCAAACAAGCCTAGAATTGCCTTTTGTATTTATACACCAACAGTAGATAACAATAAAAACTATGTTGCTCAGACTTCAATCAAGTAAGAACGAAATACAACAAATAGGTAATAATGCAGTAGGATGGTTGTGAAGTCCTGATCGAAATCCACGAGAGTGCCTCAATATCTCACCACTGACGGCAGAAGAATGATGGTAACCAGCCGAGACTTGCGTCACTTTATTGGGAAGCCCAGCAACTTCAACAGGTTCCTAGCAAAACGTAGGCATTAGAGTGAACAAGAACCTTCACATTTTGAATTTATTGAGTTTACAACAACATATAATTAAAGTTGCTTATCTTAAGCAAACAGCAAGAATAGCTTCACCACAAGAGAATACCAATCACGTTACTTCAGTGTCAGTTATCAATGGTTACACTAACAACTTCCACTGAGAAGTAATTTGAAGAATCATTTTTGCCTCATATTTAGTTAGCAGAGCATCGCTAGTTGAATTTTGATTAAAAATGTATCCAAAATTTTATACCAGCATTACATCATAAATAACAAACAAAATTTTATACCAATTTGCTAGTTTTTCATCCATAAAACATCCAAATATCCAATGAAAAGCGACAAAATAGAACAATGTAAAAAAAATTGCATGCGAAACCGTACAAGTGTGTGGCTTTCCGCAGAAGCAATCCCGAGCTGCCCAAAATCGTTCAATCCAACGGCATAAACCCTCCCACTCTCTGCAAACACAAATCAAACCAAAAACAAAAAACATCAGTTTTCAAATCAAAACTGAACCTTTCAATCAAAATCGAGAACCCCCCCTCACCAGTCAAGAACAGGGTGTGGGCTCCACCGCAGGCCACGGAAACAGGAGGATCGCGATCGCTGAAGAAAGAACAAGGCGTCGGTGTCCACTTCGACTCCAGGCTCCCGAGCCCTAGCCTGCCGTAGTCGCCGTTGCCCCAGAGCGCGGCGAATCTGCGAGGGATCGCCGCCGTCGTCGACGACAAGCGTGATGAAGATGACGATGATGAGATTAGGGTTGAGGACAGTTGAAGGAGAGCTCTCCTCCTTCTCCACATCGCACCGGGGTTTGGTCTCTCCCTCTCTCTCTCTCTCGATCGAGAAATTGCTGGAAGATGCTCGGCCAAGTGATTCGTAATAAATTTTACGTGACCCCTTATTTGTTAGCTCTTTTCCAGAAATAACCCCCTCTTAATGTCTGGAAACATTATATATGATCGACAAAGCCCACGTATACTGCCCACAATATGTACGCACACCAAAGCCCATCTTAGGATCCACAAACAAACAAAGCTTGGAAAATGTTGAATTTTGTAGGGATTAATTATATTTCGGGTGTCATGAGGTATGATGCAACTACACGGATAATTCTAGAATATGCATTTCCATATGAGTACCCCTGAGTTTGTAATTATAATTATATGGGTGATCCTGGAGACCGGACAACAAGTAAATCTTGGGATTAGCCATGTGTATACAATCAATAACGATGGTGTTACCCTTATGATACATAGACTCTGAAGTCATTGGTGTAATTACTATTGGAAACATGACATACAACGAGACGAAATATGCATATCATGACTATTAATCAAAATTAATCAAAAATTAGAAGAATATCTGAAACGATTTCCGAATTTATTTAATAATCTCTTCCAAAATCAATCCGAAATAGCTTTCTCAAGAGAAAAGCCTCTGATTGAAATCTATCAATCACTGAAGAGAAGCAATATTAAGAAATAAGTTCTCAAATTTTTATTTCTTTTCTGTTATTCTCTTATTCCTATAAGGCTACATATGAACCATATATATAGGATTAGACTTGTCTTTTAGATTTTAATTTCAAACAATTCTTAATTGTTCAAAATTCTTTCCATAATAACTACAGTAAAATATTCTTTCCATAATAATAATAATTAAAGATAGAATATTTTTTCCATAACAATTAAGGATAGAATATTTTTCCATAACAATTAAAGATAGAACATTTTTCCATTACGATTAAGGATAGAGTGCTCTTTCCATAATAATTAAGAATAAAAATAGAATTGTATTGCATGTATACATCTTTTAGTGATATTATTGAGACTATTTGGGTCCTATATCGAGAACCAATTATTAATCACATTAATAGTTTTAATTTAACAATCAGATTTCTATTTGACCAATTGTTCATAAAATCTCTATCATAATATGGTATTAATTATTTATAAATAATATCTTATATTCAATCCCATCCACTATCATTTATTTTGGGCAAACTCTTTTGAGCAGGACAATTCAACTATTTACTCATGCCTAAATTGTAATTCCCATGAACATAAATAAAATTTATTTTAAAACATCAAAATGTTTTATTTTTATAAGAAAATAATTTTTTGAATTTTTTTTCTAAACCACCCGTCGACATGAAGTTTATAACTTCATGGGAATGCATAATAAATTAACCCACTGTAATGAGCGTACTGGATCATATCTAGATATCCATCATTTTCCTAAATAAAATCTAGTAACCTAATGTTTCATGTTGTATAACGCTTGCTAAACAAGTTTAACCATTACATCAAAGCATACTAAATTATCAAATCGAAAATGACAATATCATCAAGTCAAATGGACTATATAATAATCTGAATCCTCCATCTCCTACGTGACTTGTCCTGGAGAATTTAAATACGGTTTAATACTACACACATCACAATGTGTGCTTATGACATACCCCCGGGGAATTCCCATTTCTGGTGGATGAGACCAACAACCACATCTCATATGTTTATGTTATGCATAACAACCTGGTGTAACTAAGTTATCATTTGCTAGCTATAGGTTAAGTAAGCATGAGTTTAAAAAATCTCTAAGTTAGATCACATCTTAAAACAAGTGACACATCACAGTACATGATCTAACAATTTTTTTTAAGAATACTATATCAATTGTAGAAATGATACACAAATTATATGTGCAACAGTAATTTCTTTATTAATATTCAAAAATATTACATAAAATGTATTGGATGTTCAAGAGCATTATGAGGATTACAATTACTTTCTTTCTATATAGCGGTATTTGGTAAATTACAAAGTCTTAACTCCACTTTATACCTCGTTCAGTGCTTAGCAGGTTAAGAAAGTCTTAGTTCATTTTAACCTCTCATTTAATTAAAAAAAATTATCATGCCATAACAGCTTTGAGTTAGAAAAACATTAGTTTCTTTTGTAGCAGAAGTTTCCTTAATTGACTAACCAAAAAGCTAAATTTTGTTTCTGAAAAATTACTACAAATTGCTGCAAAATAACTGCAAAGCAGTACTACTATATTTTATGTCGATCATGATTCTGACTTGAAATTTGTACCAATCTTGGTTATATTTGGCAAAAGAAGAGATTAATAAGTGCAACACTTTTTTCTTCTGAAGTGTTTATCATCAAATTAGTAAAATTTGATGATGTCAAAGAGAAAGTGCATTTATAATAGAAGAAGCGGAGCTTGTAAGTTCTACGCTTCAAGTTGAGCAGCAGGACCAATGGCTGACTCTTCTTCTTCTCATTTCCCAATAAGAAATGTCAGATCTCTGATCATCTCATTTAATAAACTCCTCACTTATTATTTATACACATTTACACAAACATTTTGATTTTTTTTCCCATTATAATAATCGCACCCGTGATCAGATGTCATAAGCACTGATTTGGTTTGTAATGTCGACCCCTGGTCCTAAGTTAAAGATATTTAATTCACTGCACTGAAAAACTGTTAATTGTATGACCCCTAGTCAATAGGGTCTTTATTAACAAATTGAAAAAATGATACAGGCACACCTGCGGTCACACCCCCTCTAGGTACAGTGTAGGGGGTCCCAGCTGAGATTTTAAAAAAAATCTCAGGTGGGACCCCTGCACTGTAGCTAGAGGGAGGGTGTGGCCGGAGTTGTACCTAAGGGTGTGCCTGTAACGCCTCCCTAACAATTTTTTGGTGTCGGCTACGTAAATTTTTGAGGGTGGTATTTTTTTAATCATAGTTAGATAATAGTCTTAGTCTAATGTAGTACTAAAATAGTATGGATGGATTTGCATGTGCCATGAGGTGTTATATCAGAGGGAGCCACATCTGGGTCAGGAGCATTTCTATTAATAAACAAAGTATTTAACGCCTTTAAAAAAAATAACAATAATCGCGGTGTTGATTCAAAAAATGATGGGAATTTTGGGCAGCGAGAAATTAAAGCGCAAAATTTTATCGTTAAGATCTAACAATGGCATCTTTTTCTTTCAATTCTCGGTCACTTGTTAGCTAGCCCTGACCTGCTACATTCATTCATAATTTCACATGATACAATGAATGAATAGTAATACTACGTCAGGGCTCAGTGCTTTCAACGAGATATGTAGTCTATATGAGGCCAAAGTTTACTAAATGCTGTCAG